GCTGTCCCAACCTGCCCTGTTGGGCTTTGCTGCCTGCCCCGCTCATGGCAGCAGAGCAGCCCGTGGGTTCGGCCTCGCTGTTTATTCATCCGTGTCCCAGCTACGCGAGCATAAATCAGGAATAAGTCTGCTGCCTCCTAGCTGCCTGCCCTCCGGATTAATGCTGGTATGAGAAGCTTGTTTCCTGCGACGTTTTCCCAGCGTGCATGAACTCTCCTCCCCGGATCCGCGGGAGCTCCCGTCCCAGGCTGCCGTCGGCGGGGACATCGGCTGCCGTCAACCCCAGCGGGATCCAGCAGCCCGGCCGGGGGCGAAACCATCTCGTGCGACCTTGGAAGGGGAAGCACAGATTGCAGCTGGTTTGTGATTTCAGAGTGATTGGATTAAAGCCAGTCAGGCCTACAGAAGATAGGATGATTTGGGGAGGGAATAGGCTGGACCCCTCCCAAAAAATGGAAAGAGGTTACGTGGGGAAACCTGACTGCCAGGCAGGGTTTGCAAGGAGTGAGTTTGTGCACAGAAGCGGCTGAAAATGAAGAGACTCTCTTACTGTTTCCTGGAAGGGAGCGATTAAGAGCTAGGGAGATGCTGTTGACAGGAATAATATCTGCAACATGGGACAGCTAATGAAAAAGATGAATCCTGTGATCCCGGAGAGAGTTGGAGACAGTGGAGGGTCACTGGTATTTTTAGCCTGGCTTTCTAAAGCAATGACGCTTTGCAGTTGCTCCCAAAATACATTGAGGTGGAGGCAGCCTCGGCCTTTCCTCCTTCTGTAGGCAACAGAAGTGAGCATAGAAGTGCCCCCATCACCCGGTGGCTCTGCCCTCCTTCTGTGGACACCATCCCCGCCACGGTCACCAGCAACATCTCTTCATCAACAAGGATTCAGAGTGGGCATCACCCAAAGGTGCCTGTACGTCCAAGCAGCTCCAAGTGTCAACCCAGCTCCGCAGGGGCTGATTTACCCTGTTCCTCAGCCCTTGCTGGTTTGGTGGACACCTTGGTATTTAACAAAAGCTTCTTTTTGTTTTTTCACACAGCACTGCAAGGGGGAGGCTAAAAGACCTCAGACTAATGGTGTTTCTTGCAGGTTTCTTACAGGCCTCTGCTCTTTTCTGTTTCCTCATTGGAGTTACTTGGTCTGGCAAGGAAATCCCCCCAAACTGTCAGAGAAATAGAGAAAAAATATCTATTTCCACCCACATTTTCTAACTCATTCCTGAAGATTCCCTGCGGCTGTGAATGAACTTGCCTGCCGTTTAGTGCGAGCAGATTCTGAGGTCATTGGGAAAGGCAGGTTTTCTCAGAAGCGCTTTCCCGTCATTCCCTCAGCTTGAATCACCAGCATCCCCCAAATTCCAAGGAACTCAGTGTACCCTGTGAAGTTTCCTTGCTTTTGGAAGGGCAGGCTCCTCTAAGTGGTTTCACTCCATGCCTGAAGGAATCGTAGGCAGTGATTCATCACACACACAGACAACAGATCCCAAACAACCAGAAGGTCAACTGTTTCTTAAGGCAAAAATATTTTGCAGTGATTTATAACCATATCAGGGAAAATAGAGTTCTTATGTGGCTAAAACAGGCAAATAAGAGGTTGAGGAGATTTTTCATCCACGCTCAGCACACTTTGCATACTGTAACAAAATGTAAGTTTATTCCATTTTATTAGTAACGGACATGGAAGAGCCAGTCAAAGAGTTGGATTGACGTATCTTTGTCTTTTGACCAATGTTTAATATTCTAACTACAGTCCAGATGTAACATTTACACTGAAGAATACTTACAGATTCAACCTCATACTCCCATTTTTTTCTAGTACAAATACAGTTAGTACATAAAAAAAGGAACGAACGAACAAACAAACAAAAATCCCAGAAACTTCATAACAGCACAGACTGGTTATGGCCTTGAGTTAAGTTCAAGTATTTCCCAGAGAAATGCAATGCAAGCAACAAGGTAATCTGGCTTTTGCTGGAGACATCCCCAGCCCGGAATGGTAAGAGTAGAAATGTAAAGATGACCACTTTATCCAGCAAAGTTTAGTGAAAGTGTCAACATTTACAATTAGTTCAGCTACAAAGCCAAACCCGTCTTATGTGAACAGGATTACTAACCTGTAAAAAAAGCAAAGCGTTAGTTATACTGCTAGCATTTATTCCCTGGCTGGTGCTGCCTGACATTTAATTGAAATTCCTCGAGCAGCCAGCTTCGCTTGGGACGTCTGTAGGAGGTTTTTGCTTGTGGTTGTGTTTATTTTGCCTCCCTCTCCTTTTCCTTCCCAAACAGACACCATGAAAATGTGGCATCTCTTACTGCCCTGAATGGAGTTGTTCATGCAGAGGCATTGAAGCACAACTGTCACCTTTGTGGCCATGACTGAGGAAGAACCCAATATCCCAAAGGCTTTAGAGGCCAAGAAGGGGAAGAGGGATGGGGCAAGTGAGCAGCTCAACAAATATAACATTAACACAGCTCGACATATATAGTAATAATCCCGTGTATTTTTAGTGCTCCCTGCCTCGTGCTGGCTCCTGTGGGCTGCTTGGGTGGATGTTGAAGAACAAGGGTCACTTCTTCCCAGCATCAGAGCAACTTGCCAGGCTCATTGGGACATGGCAACAACCGTGCATCTCCCAAGGTTGCCCAGACACCGGAGCAGTTCTGCCAAGAGTGCATCAAAGCACTTGGAAAAAAAATGGGAAGGCAGGATCATCCCCATTTCACTGGGAGGAAACACAGACAGACTCCAGTGCAAAGTATTTTACATACCTAGTTGTTCTGAGCCCTGCGAACGAGCAGAACTGGCTGGATGAATGGCTCGGAGGGCGGTTGTCCTGTCTCCCTGCCAGACGAGGAGGTTGTATCGATTGCACAAGTGTCTGTTCTGGTTCTAGCACTCATCAATATTGCACTTATCGACTGCCACTATGGAACAGCGTGTGCGTATTAAATGTGATGGTGACACTCGCCAGGAAGAGGCTGCGAATTTGCTGCAGGACTGGCTGCTTATTCAAAATACTTGTGGCAAACCGGTGTGACAGTGGAAAAAGGCAGGTGGGGGGACAAGCACAGAGCAAGGGCAGGAAAATGCCAGCAGAAATGGCCTGCAGAAACGAGGGCCATCCCTGCTGCGGCACTGCCACTGGTACCCTGCAGTGCTATAAAAGCATGGACTGGCTGGTGGTGGTTCGAAGATGGCGATGAAAATCACGCTGGAAATCACAGCCTTTGGAAAAAGGTTGAAGGAACAGGAGTTCAGCTTAAAGCAGACTCGAGGGGTATGAAAATAATCTTCAAACACCCGAAGATTGCTGCGGATACAAGGGAAATAAGCTGCTTTCCATGTCTACTTGAGTGCCAAACTCAAGGGTTGCAGCACGGGATGTTCATGGTAGGCATTAGGGTTGTGCTGTTGCTCGCCTGGGGTGTTTCTGCCTTAAAATCTGCTCCTCTTTTCCCCACAGAAAGGCAGGATGGTTCCCTCATGCCAGAGCAAGGGAAGTGCATGGCACAGCCCCTCAATTGGGTGACTTGATTGTGAATCTGCAGGTCAGCAAGAGCCAGGGGACCAGTCTGAGTCATCAGGAAATGCTCAGGCCGTGCGTGTGGCTGAGGAAAGTTTTGCTTTTACAGGCAGGCAAATTCCAAACTGAGGACAAGCGTCGCCAGGACTGTGACACCACAAGTCATCCTGAAGGAATTGAGAAATCCCCGCGCAGTGATCAACCGTGGCTGTCATCACAGTGTCCATCCCTCCTTTGGGATCACGGCTATAAATACATGCTATTTCCTTGGAAAGGGCAAAAAAATGAGCAGGATTCACATGGACGTGCTGTACAAGCTTGTGCCCTGGGTGGCTTTACTAGGGTTCAAATTGCTGCCTGGCAGGATCTCTGCTCTCTTCCCCTGTGCTGTGGACCTGGGTGCATTAGCCTCCATCACCAGCACCACGTCCCCTGCATCGCCTGGAGGACGGGATTCCGCACGGAGCTATCCATGGGACAAGGAGCAGCAGCGCCGTCCTGCCGAGCAGTCAGATATGTTTCTCTCCCCACCACTGTGGTGTGAACTTAGGAACCTGGAGTATAAAATCTGTGGCGTATGGGTCATGCCTTCATGCGATGGATGTGGGTTTCCACGGACCGATCCTGCTGGGGAGATCCACTGATCCTCCCCCTGGATCCAGTGGATCGTTTTCAAAGGGGAAATATTGAGTAACAAGGTGCTGACTGAAATGCCAGTATTTTACCAATGCTTTTAGTGGGATCAGGACCAAGCCTCAAAGTATTCCTTGGACTGTTAAACAAAACCATATGGAAGATTTGCAGGTGAATACCTCACTGAGTGTTTCTTATAAACCTGCTTTTTTTCTACTGCCACTATTGTCTAATGGCACAGATTTGTCAGTGCTGAGGGGCCATACTGAGGTGCATCCATGTGGTCTATGGGCCTGACCACACAGGCAACCTGGAACCTTTTGGAGATTGATCTCAAGGACATGAGGAAGATGGTCAGCAAGCAGTCACACGGGTACAGTACATAAGAAATACCATCACGGGGACCTGTGTGTGACTTTGTGTGGCTGGCAGTGCCCTGAGCAAACACAAGTGCATTTCAGCATATGGGCCATGCTGTCCTTCAGCGGGGATTTACTCAGTTCACGTTAAGTTTGCTCATAAACACCCTGCCTATTTAGGTCCTCCAGGGTGGTGAATCAACTGTTTGGCTCCTGGGAGGTTGTGAGAGCATCTGCTAAGCCAGAGGCGTCTCAGCAAGACCTCTGCTCTCTGCGGGATGTGACGCAGTCTGGGACGCGTCGGACTGCGAGGCAGTCGCTGATTTCAGCCTGTACCAGTTGACAGCAGATGGTCTTTTCCTCAAGCTAACAAAAACCCTACATAGTAGGTTTTCTTTCTGCTTCGACTTACTGGATGGTGGCAAAGCCACAGGCCAACAGCTGTACAAGAGACACAGGGTGAAACCACCCTGACAACGTATATTCACCATACAAGCAAGAGCCTCGGAGCTCGGCAGCTTTTTTAACATTGCCCCTTTGTAACTGCAACCCTTCCCTTCCCCAAAATCCAGAATAAACCCCCAAAAGTCTCCCATAAACTAGGGAAAAACTTGTTACCAGCCTCGGTCCTGTCCCCACTAATCTTCTGCTGGGTGCTCCAAGCAAGTATGTGAAATGTCCTAAGTGAGGCTGTACCCAGGGGCTGCTCCAGGAGGAAGATCAGCCGTCACTCTGGATCAGCCAGGTTTACCCAGTGGAGGGGAAGGCTGAAAATTTCCAGCAGGTTGATATTAAGTTTATATATATATATATATATATTCACACAGATGGGTTCATACGTGTCCATACATATACTTACATGTACACACAGACACACACTGTATACCCACTATGCATAGATCTGTGCTCTGCCACTATTTATAAGGGTTTGATTAAACAGAAAAACAAATCTTTCGGCACTGACCCTCCAATCTCTACTACAATTTAGCAAATGAAGATGTCCAAACCCTTTACAATTTTGTTTTCCTGGTTGCTTAAAGGCACTTTCTGATGATGTGAAATAGCAGTTTTGTTAAAAATGCTGTAAGTAAGTGCAACAATCCCCATCGTATCTGCAGCAAGAGCTACCCTGAAACCCTTAGAGTGCAATTGCACTGCGAACTCCTGCTATAGAGTATTTGATCATATTTTCTTTTTGTTTCAATGCAGAGGAAGAAAAAAATAAAACCTTTCGTGCCGTGCTCTGCTCTCGGGGCTCCCTGCGTAGAGACAGTCACTGCGTTTCAGCCCCCCGTAACCCAACGAGCGGGCTGGGTTCCAAGGCAACGTCCAGACCTCCGTGGTGTTCATTTCCAGTGATGCCTGTTAATGCAGCTGCGAATTCAGACAGGAAATTAGCCATAAGCGTGTCAGGAAAGTTGGTGCAGCGTGTCAGCTGTTTTCCCTTTCAATCAAGGGGGCGTACGTTAATTTTGATTAAGGATATTTAGTAATTAAGCACTCCCTAACGCACAGTGCGCTATTCTCGCACTGCAGGGGGGAGTTGCTCGCTGTAGGGGTGGCTTCTGAGCGACCAGCAGCTCCTCTCCCCACCACAGTGCGCTGTGCAGTCCGTGTTGGAGGGCATGGCAGTGACCGAACGGGTCGGATACGCAAGGGCTCTGACCCTTGCTAGTGCTCACTGGAGTTTCCCAGCTGGAGAGCGGCTTGGAAATAGAAAGGAAATGTCTTTTGTAAATGTACTGGAAGACAACACTAAATTGGTCTGAAACCCATTTTCCCTGCTGACTTCCATGTAAAAATCATGCCCGTGCCCTGTGAAATGAACTCAAGACAACACTGAAAGAACAGAAACAACCCTAAATGAACCCCCCGCTTACACTGCCCTCTCTCTAAGCGAGCTATATCCATACAGATGTCTTTCCGTCTTTGCTGCTTGAGCTTCCTTTCTCCGAGCAGGCTTTGGGTTTAGCACCTTGTTTCTCCTGGGCGGTGTTGGCCCTGTTCTGCTCTACCACCGTGCCGCCCGAGGCGGGACTGCTGGTTCGAGAAGGCTGTGTGTTGGGCTGGGTGCTGCTGTAGCTCTGAAACGCTATATCTAGTTGCTCTTGGGCCACTCGCAAGTGTTTGTGCAGGGTGGACAAGTCTGCTGGGATATTCTCATCCGGGCTCGTGCACTGCTGTTCCTGAGCCACATTAGCCAAGTTCTGCTCGTGGGCCATGAGGCTGTTGGGGATCTTGGTGGACTTCTCTGATTTCACTACCAGGTTGTACTCAGGAGGGCAGGAGATGTTCTTCGGGTAGGCGTAGTTGTAGGGAGGCTGCCTAAAGCTGTTGATTTTTCGGTTACGGATGGCATCTCGGATAGTCCCAAAGCCCAGGTGAAACATCTCACACATGTTGAGCAATAAGCACATACAGCTCACAACATACATCACCAGGAGAAAGATGGTCTTCTCTGTTGGCCTCGACACAAAGCAGTCCACAGTGTGAGGACAAGGGACTCTGTTGCAGACGTAATAAGCTTCAACTTCAAAACCATAGAGAAGATACTGCCCCACCAAGAAGCAAACTTCAAATGAAGCTCTGGCAAGGAGCTGGAAGACATAGATTTTCATCAGTCCTTCTTGCTGGATGCGCCTCCTCCCGTCATGCTTCTGCTGCTCTTTGCTCTTGGGCTTGGCTTTGGCTTTTTCGTTTTCTGCGGTATCGTCTGAGATCATGGGCTCCTCTTCATCCGCCTCCGTGGGGTCTTCCAGGTTGCGCACAGTCTGCCAGTTCAGAGCAAACTGCTTCTTCTTCTTGAATCCCTTGAACTTCTTCTCCTCCTCCGAGGACCTGGCGATCCTGTGGATGGCATAGCCCAGGTACATGACCGAAGGGGTGGATATCATGATGATCTGGAAGACCCAAAACCTGACGTGTGACAGCGGTGCGAAGGCATCGTAACAGACGTTGTCGCAGCCGGGCTGCTTGGTGTTACAGGTGAACTTGCTCTGCTCATCGGAGTAGATGGACTCCCCTCCGACCGCTGTCAAGACGATGCGGAAGACGATGAGCACGGTGAGCCAGACCTTCCCCACGAAGGTGGAGTGATTGTGAATCTCTTCTAGCAGGCGGGTTAGAAAGCTCCAGCTCATGTTGGTCATAAGGGCTACTCAGTTATAACCTGGAGGAGAAGAAGGAAGCGAAAAGATGTAACTATAAGTTAATATATACTTATATTGTGGCAATGGTCAGCAGCAGAGTTGAGCTAGCAAGCTGGTCCACCAAGACATGGGCAGTATAGGGCCATAATGAACCACCCTGATAGGAGGCAGGAGTATGTTGCACTGGATGTATGTAAATTCACAGCAAGACAAGTCCCAGCATCTGTTGGATTCCTGTTACCCATTTTATTGCCTCTTTCAAGACGTAGCTTGGCTATAACAAGGCTTCTGGGAACTGTATAAATGAACCTAGCGGAGAAGGGAAGGCACCTGGACACAAAAAGCTGATTAACTTGGGATGATCTCCTGCTTGTGCATCTCGTGCTCAAGTACCCCGTGAGGGAAAGAATATGGGAGGTGCTGACTGTGCGAATAAGAGATGTTCCCCACGTCACGGAGATTGGCACTGTTGCTTGCACGTCTCATGCTCAAGAACTCCGTGAGGGAAGGAATATGGGAGGTGCCGATTGTGGGAATAAGAGACGTTCCCCACGTCACGGAGATTGGCACTGCTGAAATGAAATGTTTTCATCAGGAAGCCCAGAAAAATGCAAAAAAAAAAAAAAGGCAGAAGAATGGGATATTTGTGTTTAAAGTAAAAGGAGCTTTTAAGTTCCCTTTGGAAAACCAAACAAATGTTTAAATGAAGCGCAGGCTGTTTTAAAAACAACCTTCAAAAGCTTACAGAGAAAACTGAGAAGACCTGGACAGCTGGGGAGGAAGAGTTCGTAAGACCCATTTTGGGCTCAGTTTGACTTACACTGGGTCCTCAGACCAACCTCCTTGAGTTATCTGCAGACACCAAGAAAGACACTCATCTATTTTGGAGTGGCAGCAGCCCTGACAGATACCTGGTGACTCATGACCCCATGGTGGAGGCCAGGGAGGAGAAGGTGCTCGTTAATCCCATCACCAGCCCTGGGTGCATCAGCCCGATCCCTTGCTCGTTCTTTGGCCTTGTGCATCCTGTGCTCCGCTGCGTCGTGTGGGCGTTTGGGCTTTGCAAAGCCATCACTTGCTCTGGTTTCTGTTCGGGTCATGTTTGATCGTAGTTGGCTCAGGTGGGACTCAGTGCATGGATTAAAAGGCGGATTAGCATCAAGGTCTTTGTACACAGGGCTCAGCCTGTGCCTGTTAAAGGCAGCAGAGCCTGGAGCAGCTGAGCTCACCCTCCCACAGACACCTGCATCAGTTCTGAAGCTCCACTGACTGCAGGGGAGTCACCACCTTGTTTGGGCAGAGGGCCCTGCCAACAGGCAGCAAATGAGGGGTCTGAGCCAAGACTCGTCCTTGAGACGATGCTTGCTCCTGCGTCCAGCAGAAGTAGAGGAGCAAGTAGAGAAGTAGAGGTGTTGCGGGGTAACTCAGCTCAGGGTGGTGGCACAGCTCTTCCCAGGCCATCGCTCGAGTCACACAAAGGAAGGGGAAGGAGCTACATTTACTGGGAGAGCCTGACCCGCACCAAAGCCACCCCTTGTTTCAGCCCTGGGTCACTTGCCAAGAGCTCCTGCTCTGGAGCTCTTCCAGACCCGCCTGGATGCCACCCTGTGCCACGAGCTCTGGGTGTCCCTGCTGGGGTTGGACCAGGTGGTCTCTAGAGGTGCCTCCAACCTCAACCATTCTGGGATCTGTGATAGTCCAGGAGGCCGAAGGACACCCTGGGACACGAGCCTGTCCCGAGGAGATTGTGCACCAGCTTTACATGAAAACTCACAATTTAGGCACAGCGTTTCCATGGCACAAGCCGGAGCTCGACGCCGCTGGCCGTGGCGGCCAGGAGCCCTCGCGCAGCCGCGTCCCCCATCGCGGCGCTCCGCGGGAGCGGAGAGGGAAACGTGACTTGCTCTCTTCTCCACATTGTGCCGTTCTGGAATGTTATTTTCCTCATGCTGCGTCTTCGGATGCGAGCCAAAGGCAGCTCGTTTGCTCAGCACGAGTCTCCACGCTGCCGCGGGAGGGAACGGTGCAGCCCGGGGCTCGAGATCCAGCTAAATTCTTTCAACGTCAAGAGCTCTCGAGAGAAGGCAGATGGAATTTTCTAACCCTGCTATTTCTAGATCAAACAAATCCTCTGTGAACCCAAAACCCCAAATCTTCACACGCTGGTCCCAAACAGCAGGAGCTCTTTCCGGATGGTGGCGAGGGCTG